AACACTCAGATTTTTCGTCGTCTTCGAAGGCGACGGTGCCGTCGGGGCGAGTGAGCGGGGGGGTGTGAGTGGTGACGTCGCTACGGAGCGCTTTCGCGATTCTATAGTACGCAAGATGGGATGGGGTAATGTCCGCCATGAGTTCCTCCCAACGGGAGTGTCTCAGAGCGGCTAATTGGGACCTAACTTGTCGCTGAAGGCGATTAGCTGTAGCCCTATACTCGGGGGTGGGGTATAATTTGGCTCTCCGGAGAGCGGCGTTTTTGGTTTGGATTAGGTTCCGGATGGCCAGCGGGAGCTTGGGCTGTGGCAGCTCAACCTCCCGCGAGTTCTCCTTCGCCTTCTCGGTCACCAGTAAAGTTAAAGACTCTATAGTTTTGTCAATCTTGTCGGTGCTGTCGAGACTGTCCGGTGAGTTAGGGAACGGGGACTCGGGGGAGTCTAAAGCGGTCTCGAGAGCGGAGCGGTATCCGTCCCAGTTGGTGAATAGCCTCTTAGGGGGCGCGGGGGCGTCTAGTGGGTCTTGGGGACCTAGAACTAGAGACACCGGTCTGTGATCTGACCCCAGGTCGTCGAGCGTTTCGATCGAGCTGAGGCGAAGCGACACGTTTTTAAGGATCGCGAAGTCCAGGACGTCGGGTCGGTTTTGTACATTGTCTGGGTAGTGGGTGGGCGCGTAGGGACATATGACATCATAGCCAAGCTCCTCGGTTATGTGTAGTAATCTGCGGCCAGAGGTGGTGGTGGTCTCGCATGTCCAGTCGGTGTGTTTGGAGTTAAAGTCACCGAACATTATGACTGATGTACCTAATGAAGTGAGTGTTTCGAAGTCTGCGCGGTGAGGGTGTGTACCTGATCTAATGTAGACTGAGGCGATGATTAAGGACTGGTGTCCTGTCATCGCCAGCCTACAGATGGTGGCTTCCATGTTTGTGAGCGCGGGAGTGGGTATAGGTGTGCAGTGTAGGTTGCGTCTATAGTAAATTGCGGTGCCGCCGCGCGCGTTGGCACCGTCGTTCCGGATTAATTTATACTTAGGGATCGACAGCCCCTTCATTTGAGTTGGTTTGAGCCAAGTCTCCTGAAGGAGCAGAAAGTCGGGTTCCCTATCTTGCAAAAATAATTTAATTTCGTTGAGGTTGGATTTTAAGCTGCGCGTATTAAATGACACAAGCGAAGCGCCTTTCGGCTTGGTACGCCCGGGGTTCAGTTGTGTGATTGTTATGTTAGTGTTTTGCGCGGTCATAATTTAAACAACAGTGGTGTTTGTTTGAGTTATCACCGCGTGTTTTGTGTATAGTGTTTTTGTTTGTGTTCGGAGTCTGGTTATTTTCCAGTGTTATAATGAAAAAATTAATCGAACGCGGCAACGAGTTCGGGGTGTTCGGCTATAGCTATAGCCTTTTCAAGTGGTGTTTTAGCTAGCCGGAGCTTCGCGGCGAGAGTGTGGATCTCGGCGATATTCACCCTCTTGAGCGAGGAGCGAATAAGCGCCATGTCCTCGGCCAGAGAAACGTCTTGGGCTGGCTTAGCTTGTGTTGTTGGTGTGGTGTGTTGTGGTGGGTGTGGTTTTGGGCGGGCCCTGGCTGGTCCCCAGGCTGTCGGGGGCGCCGGGCTGCGAGGGGCGGCCGCCTTGGGTAGCCCCGGGAAGTTTGTGGTGGTGTTATTAGGTGGTGGTGGTGGGTGTGTTTTTGTAGCCGTGGTTGGCTTTGTGTGAGTGTGAGTGTTGGGCCTGGGGCGTGGGGCCCGCGGGCAACCCCTGTAATTGGCCGGGTGGCCTTCTTGGCCACACAGCACGCATGCGGGTGCCCCGGGTGCGTCACGAGTGCGGGTGCACTCCTTAGTGAGGTGGGGTACGAGGCACTTGACGCACCTCGGGGCCGCCGAGCAGTTGGCTGCTGCGTGGCCATATAATTGGCACCTGTGGCATTGCCCAGGGGTGCCTCGCCGGTGTGGGGCCTCGACTTTGATATTGTCGAGGCCACAGACTGTGATGGGACCTTTGAAAATGTCCCTAGCTGCCGGGACCGAGGTCAAAATGACAAGAGCCAACGGGTATTGCTTCCCAGTCCGGCTGTGCAACTTGTGCACTGCCTCGGCTGGGAAGCCTTGGTCGGTTAAGTCGTTTAGAATGAGCTCGTTGGAGAGCTCGAAGGGGACTCCTCTGAGTACCGCGCGGACTTTGCGCTCCTCGGGGAGGGCGTATGTGTGGTACGGGATTGTGTGAGTGGTTAGTAGCCTTGTGAGGCTCCTAAATGTGTCGATTGTGGGTGTGGTGATTTTAATGGCGTGACCAGTGTTCGACGCCTGTGTGTAATTTATGTTCTGAGCTTTGCAAAGGTCCGCGACCTTTGCCCATTGCGCCTTATCGCGCAGGAAGACGGGCGGCGGCGGCTTTGCCTTGATAGGTGCGGCGGTGCACCTATTGTGTGGTTTTGTAGTGTTGTGTGATGTTGTGTGGGTTTGTGTGGTCGGTTGGGCGACCGTGAGAGGGGTGAGAGGGCTGAGAGGGACAGAGGGCGCCGTTGGAGACGCGGTGTCTGCGCGGCGCTTGGAGCGCCGCTTCTTCTTGCTCACCACAGTGGTGAACACGGAGTCGTCTGACGCCGACACAATGGTCGAGTCAGAGTCGCAGGTCGAGACCGGGCTCGAGGCGGGGCGCTTGCCCGCGCTCGAGGGCCCGGGGAGGCAGGGGGTGTCGGGGCGGGGGGGTTCGGGGGAGGGGCTGGCGGGCGAGTCGCGCATGGGGCGCGCTCTCGCGACGAGCTCCCTGATGGCGGCCTCATCCAGGGTGAGGCCGAGGGCGGAGAATAGGGACAGTACTTGCTGTGTGATGTCCATGTTTGAGTTTAGTGTAGTGTGTCGAGTTGGTGTGTAGGTGATGTGTGTATGTGAGTGCCCTGACTGTGGCGTGAAGCCGCAGGTCCTAACACCCTATACGACAGCGGTGGACTCCCCTGCCCGCGGCAGGGGGTCGGTTGAGGCTGAAAGAGATGTGTTCCGATATTCCTAGCGAATATGGGAACAACCGTCACCCTTGGGAAGGCCCAAGTGCAAATGGGATCGGGTCTTCCGGTTTCCGAGCTCAGGAGAGCTCGAGACGTACCGGGGCTACGCCGACCAGTTTCGTTAACACCGCTAGGTATCCACTGGTCCAATCTTGGGTCTCACGAATGAGCGCAGGCGCGTCGAGTCGACTCGGAGCAGGCAGCTGTGCGGCGGGGCGCACGGAGCAGGGAGGCGGCGGTGCGACGTGGCGCACGGTCCGCGGTCGGAGCGAGAATCTCAAGAACATAGCAACATATATTTTTTATGGGTGCACATACATTATGGCGCGATTACACATGGTCGTTAGCCCGAATACGAGTGCCAATGGAATTCGGGTAAACGACTAAGTGTAAATGAATGGAGTCGAGTACGCCCTTATTCGGGTAGATTTCTTTTTGTTTACCCGACACCGTCTTCCAGCCCGCATCATCAGCCTTTTAATGTCCCCACTGCTGGGGCACAGGCCTTCCCTATGGATAGAATAGGGAGATTGGGCCATGACCCACCACGCGGGTCCAGTGCGGATTGGCGGGTGCTAAAGACTGCAGATGCAGCCGTGACCAACGGCTTAACGTGCCTTCCAAAGCACGGAGGAGCTCGATATAGTAAATTTTTGGTCACCCATCCAATGACCGACCACTGCGAATGTTACTTAACTTCAACGATCGCAGCCGAACGCGCTAACCACTTGCGCCATCGAGCTCCTCCCCTCCTCTCCAGGCCGCATTTCACTGTAAATATTGCTTCGAGTGCCCGAATTCGAGTAATGTCTTTGGTGCACCCGAAAAGGGGCTAGCGACCAAATGTTTTTTCGGCATTATGCTGTATCACCTGCATTTCGATTGCTGTGTGTGAAATGCAGGTGATCTATTAATGTATATTTGAGATTATGCAATGAAAGATGACTTCATGAATCATCCCTGAAGTCATTGTTGAACTTGACGACTCTTTAATAATAATTTATGAAGAAAAACATCCCTTGCTGAGTTTCTTGCCGGTCCATCTCAGTACAAGGTCTCCCGCCGTAGATTTACGAGCCGCAGACGTAACTTCTAGACATTCATGAGTGTTTGTAACAGCCTAAACTGTATAAATGATTGTGTATATCATTATGATTGATTGAGTTTGTTACATATTTTTTTAAAGATTTCAGAAGCGAGTCTCTACTGCAAATAAAAAACCGACCAATTGCGTCTCGTGCTCGAAAGGTTTCGTACCATTATCTATACAAAATTAAACACTTTATTATTAACTTAACTTAACTTAACCCCTTAAATATTTATTTTATTCTCTTTTTATTATTTTTCAACTACATATTTAGGCTATCTCGGTTTATGAGATACATTCGATAGTTTATAGATCAAATTAAGTATAACCTCAAATTGACAAAATGAAATTTTATTTGAACTACGTTACTGAAAGTTTCAGAGAAAGAGAGTAAACCTATAGTTGACCTCACATGCATTCTGTAATTAAGAGGTTGCTAGAATAGACAATGCCCAGCTGGCGCCCCCATGGGAATTTCTCTGTGGTCTTCTGTAAGGTGAAGACAAGTACTTCATCATCATCAGCCTATTCATGCCCCCACTGCAAGCGTACATACCTTCCTTATCGATGGTATAAGGAGTTTTGGCGATGACCCACCACGCGGGCCCAGTGCGGATTAATGGGTGCTGACGACCGGGACGAACGGCTTAACGTGCCTTCCAAAGCACGAACAAGTTCGAGATAGTAAGTTTCTGGTCACCTATCCAATGACGGACCATTGTGACAGTTGCTTAACTTCCACGATCGCTGGCTGAATTCCCTAACCACCTGCGTCATGGAACTCCTCGTGTGCCTTCATCATCAGCCTTTTAATGTTCCCACTGTTGAAATAAAGGATTAGGCACTTTTCCCACCGCGCCGACTGTAGATATCAATTATAATGATTTTATTTATCTTTGTTTCAGAGCAAAACACTAGATTTAGCGCTAGTGTCTATATACAGAGGAGGTGTAGAATTAGCATCAGTCAGCCAGTATGCAGGTTCACCATATAATACGACAGACAGGTAAAATATAGGCACATACTTAAATATTACAATAAATTTGATTTAATGTTTTATTACAAACATCCCCGAATAATATACAAATATCAGCATAATAAGTAGAAATCTTATTGTTTCAACACCACCAAAACCTTTTAAACGAACAATTTTAATGTACTAAATTTTACTAAATTTCTGGGGGCTGTAGTTGCATTATATTGGTATGGAATATAATTTTTTATCTATATACAATTATTATTTGTTGAAATATTTGCAGCACCCCATCCTTTTGTTACCATTTCATAATTAAAATTCAATATCTAATAACTTTCAAAGCCGTTTTGCAGAATGGAGTCGACGGTATGCTAGGCCTGCTAAACATTTTGGCAGTCGCGCGCGTATTAAGGATGGCTTACGTTAGACCGTGCCGTGTCCGGGCTGGGTGTCGTTTTTGTTGAGCTAAAAATCGTATATTCTATTCTATTCTATCTATATATTATTACACTTTGCGGCGCTCGTACGCCAAAACTATTGCTTTATGAAAAAAAAGGTAGAAACATAAATTGTAGGCAACTGTCTCTAGTTTCATTTTATACATATCTGTTTTTATCGTATAATGAGTCGGAAAGGAGACATTGTCAAAAAACAAAAATACAGAGGTGGCAATCTATAAAATTACCAGTTTTCAAAACTCCCGGAAAAATTTCCAGGTACAACTACAAATGACCGTACTTAATGCATAAATATTCAAACAAAAATTGAGTAATCCAATTCATTTGTGATTTTGTATTCAAATAAACTTTAACTATCTCAAATCTCAAAAAACAAAACTACTGAAAACCCATTCATCATCATCATCAGCCTAATAATATACCCACTGCTGGGGCACAGGCCTTCCCTATGGATTGAATAGGGAGCTTCTGCGGATTGGTGGTAGCTGACGACCGGGACCAACGCTTAATGTGCCTTCTGAAGCACGGTGGAGCTCGAGATAGTAAATTAATTTTTTTTTGGTCACCCATCCAATGAAAACCCATTGATACATTATTATTACTTAATCTTAGCAAAATCGATACCCTGTGCGTTCGGCCTTATCACGGTTGTTTCCGACCATTTTCCGTTTACTCGGTTAGCACTCGGTATAACATGAGTATGTCCATATGAAATGTATGTCATATTAGTTGACCGTGCCGGGTACGGTTAAGGCCAGCGCTCGGCTCTGACCCGGCACGGTATAGCGTGAGTCATCCTTTATGGTACCCACGGGCCGCAAGTTGCCTCCTTCATTTTCATACGTTTTACGTAACTGCTGCCGTTAACGACGTATCGATGTAGTTACGGTTCGAATATATTTTTAGGGATATTGAGATAAGGAAGTAATAACTAAACAACTAATGTATGGTAAAAAAACAATTCACAGGGAAAACTGTATTAGCATAAAATTGGTTTTTGTCTTTAGTAGTGACGGCCTGACGGACCAAAATTTTAATTTAAATTATTATGTGGGTTATCTACGATGCGAAGAGATTGATTGAGATGCCGCTGCCTTGCAGTCCAAGAAAGGCTAGAAAGAATTTGACAAGGCCATCGGGACCGCGGTAGCATAATGGTCAGTGTATTCGCCCGGATAGTGAAGGGTGCGGGTTCGATCCCGGTCGGGATCCCGTCAGCTGCCTGCTCCGAGTGGAATTTTTTCAAGTAATATTTTCTTTAGATTTAAACATCGAGCAGTTACATGCTGAATAAAATGTAGCTAAAAATTATTATTTCCTTAAAAATAACCATTTTTTTTTTTCAGAAAATTGACCAGTTTTATTTTATGGAATAATCAAATGATTTATAGATCAAATTGATCATAGACCGCAACCTGTTCATTGCCATTACAATAAAAATTAGGTACCTACTCTATTTTTGGGTTATCTAATTAATAAATCTGTCCATTTAATTTTTTCGGAATGCTAATAGGTACCTATTTAGCGTGACACAAACAAATTACATTATTTTAGAGCAGTATTTTATCAAAGCAAAATATTTAGGTCATGACTTTGGCGAATTCTGTCGACCAAACCGATATAATGACGTCCATTTCTGTACCACAAATCGCTAGAATTACTCAGATGGACTGAACGCAGCTGGGTTCAATGAAAGCTGAAATGTATTTTACTAAAACATAAATATTTACTTATAACTAAAAGCATTTAATAGCAATATATTAAACTAAATACAAAATTAGTTACTTTATCATAATACTTATATTTTAAAATTAGTATTACTAATAACTATAAAGTTATATATATTTTAATGTTTTATTTTATTTTATGACTTTTTATTACGCGACAAAACTAGTTTTATTAATTTGATGATATTTAGGGTTCCACACCCAAAGGGTAAAAGCGGGACCCTATTACTAAGACTCCACTGTCTGTCTGTCTGTCTGTCTGTCTGTCACTAGGATGAGCATGAGCCGAGATAGCTTGATTATAAAGTTGAAAGTTTTCACAAATGATGTTTTTTTTGCCGCTATAACAACATATAGGTTTAGTACCTAACACAATTAAATTAATATTTAAACAGGGCTCCCATATTACTAACATGATATATTTTTTTCGTTTCCTGTACTATATTAATAGCGGCAACAAGCAGATGCTTAAAATATTCTCAAAATATTTATTTGTAATATCACTTCTTAAATAAACAGTATATTTAAACTAAAATTGATATTCAAGGGGGCTCCAATACAAGAGGTGATTTTTTGCCGTTGTTTGCTCTATGATAATAACGGCAACAGGTAGACTTGAACAGAATATTTAGTTGTATTTTCAATTTTGCTTTATAAATAATTAAATAAAAATGAAATAAATATTAAAAGATTTCTCAAATAACCGACATGATTTTTTTCATGTATTTTCTAGATATTATCATAAAGTGTTTAATGTTTTATAGGTAATGGTATGTAACCCTTCGTGCGTGAGTCCGACTCGCACTTGGCCAATTTTTTCAATTCATGAATTGGAAGCTCCTCGAATCCAATTTCAAATCTTAGACTATTATTATACTTTGCATCAGTACGAGTTGGGTGGAAGAAAATCATGTTACGTGTCTATCGCTACAAGGTTTCACGGGGTAGAGGATGGGGTTGGTTTGGACAACGGTGGACGGCCAGATTGGCAAGAGATACTCGAGTTATTTTACAATTGTAAAAATATATTTTTTCAACCTTTACATTGAGCCATTTCATTTGATATATTATACTTACATGTACTCGGCACAGTTAGCTGAATTTCAGTTTTGTAATTCACCACCCAAAAGTAACGCCGATATTTGGAATTTATTTATTTAATTTATTCATCCATAAAAATAAAACTAGTTTTTTGCGGGTTAATGCACGAAACTTTATTTATTGATTCCGACGACGTAGCCTGTAAAGGCTACGAAACGTCAATAAATAAATAAAGTTTCGTGCATTAACCCGTAAAAAACTAGTTTTATTTAATGAGTGATGTGCGTGAAAACCTAAGAAACAAATATTATTCATCCATGTTTGGGTAACAGACATACATGATATGTACCAAATGTTAACTAAATAGGTCCAGAAGTTTCCGAGCAAATTGACTATGACATACAGACAGACAGAAAACCCAGTGATCGCATAAGGGTCGCATTTTGTTTTTTTCCGATTGAGATACGAAAACCCTAAAAATAACGCAATCGCAAGTCCCAACGTCAAAGATCTCACCCCTAATACAGACATACTTCACGAGCACATTTCCACAGCCAAATGAAAAATGTTCGCCAAGTATTCCAGAGATGTGGTGCGAACGCAAAGTAGCAAAAGTTCCACAACTTCGTGGAACCTAGCGGCTCAATGCCAGCAGGCCCAAGTTGCTAGCGGCAAGGTGTTGAAAGTTATTTACGGCATCTGGAAAAATCTTTTCCCTAATAAATTAGTACTTAACGCTTACAGCTAAACTCCGGACTTTGGACGCTTAGCAGACGGCTTTTGGTACTGTCCAGTCGAAACAAATGTACCAAAGTTTTTGGCGTAATAATTTAGAATCAACACATCGATTCTAGAAGACTTTTCTTAGATAATTCGAATTGTTGTGCATGGATAAATAAAATTCTTCAACTTGATTATTTTTTCTTTCTTTAACTGGATTTGATGAGGTTTCATGGTGTCACCGATTCGAGAGGTCCCGGGTTCGTATCCCGGTGGGGGCGGATGTTTGTGTGATGAATACGAGCATTTGTACTCCAGTCATGGATGTTTAATATGTATTTCTATATAAATATACTTATATATGTACAGTATATGTATTCTATTCGTTACCCTAGCATCCCATAACACAAGCCTTACAGTGCTTACTTTGGGGTTAGGCTAATTGATGTGAGTGTAATATTTATTTATTTAACCATCATTGCGATATTTTTGTCATATAATGATCTAATAAATATTTAACTAATGTTTTTAAACCTTTATTTAACATACAATTTCACAATTGGATTTCAATAATTCGAACTTTTGCTCTTGTTAAATGTCGGTTATTAAAATGTATTAACAGTCAATGCATAGTTTTCCTTATAACGAATCTATGAATATTTTACTACATAAAGTTATAACGATAGTTTTATTCATTAGTGAGATTTCATTTTACAGAATTGCCCTACAAATGAAATTTTCACTTGAGATGAATGATATTATTTTATGATACACAAAAAAGTATGAAAGCTGTGAAAGCGAAATACGTTTGCAATACGAATATCAATCTTATTGAGCTGGACTCGCTCACGAGGGGTTCCGTACATTAATATAAGCTCAACAATATTGGCGATATGGTTGAGCTAAGCGATGGCTAGTTCATGCGTCATGCTCGTGAACGGGTGCTGCCAGCGGAGATGAGACTGCGATACTTTGATATTTAAGATGTAAATGTTTAATTACACCTATTATAAATCTACTGTATTTGTTTTTATACTGTGTGACACAGCAATCAAAATGCGGGTGAACAATTAATGTATAATTT